TTGGCACAATGACCAAATACGAAGGAACAAGAAGGGTCGTCCCAAAAGTAGGCGCATCACAACAGAAATGGACGATCTTGACAGGTTGGAAAGAAAGTGTGGTTTATGTCGTCAGGTCGGACACAATCGCAAAAACTGTCCGAATCGGGCGTCTGGCTCGACCACATAAATATTGTAATACAATAAATCTTGTCAATATTTGTGTTGTAAACATTAGGGTTTTCCGTTAACAAATTTTGCTACAGTTAATAAAACGCGTACAACAATAATTAACGATATTCAATCTAGGAAATTACAACTGTTAACACAATTTCATCTGACCCATGCATCATCAGCATTACATCACTGTCTGTTTTGACTTCCTCCAACCACACATTAGGTCTTCCTGTCGCATGTGAGGTTGTTGTTCGTTTTCGCTGGATCCTTCGAATTTTTCCCCCCTCCGCGATGTCTCCATCTAGCCACCGCATCAACTCCCGCTTCAGACGCTCCATGGAGTGAATGTGCCAGAATTTCATTTTCATCGCAGGTTTCGTGGCGGAGAATATAACGTAACCATCTCTGCTAAAAATCATAGGCGACGTCATTACGCAAATAACGGAGTACAAAATAAAAATACAGTGCGAGAAAGTGTGAGAAATTTCGGAGAAACGGACGAATTATTTATAAAACAACATTTTGCCCTAGTTTTGCCCTAGGAGCCAAGTGAGATGGCGCCTCCTCTCATTTTTAAGGAGCATGCGCCATCTCACTTGGCTAAAAGCCAAGGGAGGCGCCAAGTGAGATGGCGCCTAGGGCAAAACCCTAGGTGGAGGCGCCAAGTGAGATGGCTCCTCCTTTGTGGAGCCATCTGAAACATGGTTATTTGCGTAATTTTTTCCGAAACCCGGTTATTTGCGAAATATTATTTTAATACATGGTTATTAATAAAAAAAATTCCAATTTGTATACCCCCTCCCACAAAAATTGTAATAGTGTAGTAACTTTAAATTCTGCAATTTATCGCTTTTATATACAAATGCTAGTAATTAAGATTTGTATGGAAAGACTAAAATCAATACTTAGAAAACCCTAATTCAAGACAAAAATAAGCATGAAAATAATATACTTGCACACAAGCACCCCTAGGGTTATTCCACTTGGTTGCCTTATACAAAACGGCCATATTATGCATGTAAGGTATCTTAGCAAAAACAAGTAAATACAAGATCATAGTCCCTCGATGATGCTATCTAAGTTGTCTTTCAAATGATCTTAGTCCCTAAAAAAGAATGCTAAGATACCTTGCAGTATTGCTAATTATGGTTATACGATGACCCACGCCCGTCCTGTTTACATCCAAAGATAAGGTTGCTTACCAAATCAATGGTAAGACAACAATGTCAAAGGAAAAGAAAAATGAACAAGAAAGACTTTTGAGTAGGTAGAATGCTCCTAATTACTTGCTCAATTTCAAAACAAACATCCTTGCTATTTTCAAAACAAGCACCTGCACTTTCAAAACATCTTACAAACTTGAAAACATCTTCAAAAGATCAACATCTTTGTATACATTCTTACGAACGAGAATCATTACAAAGATTGCCTGAACAAATGGCTCTTTACAAAAATACTTTCAAAAAAACTACACCAAGCACAATTTCAAACAAAAGCGAGTGATCTAGAAAGTAACTAAGAGCCCATGGAAAATCATGGATGAAAAGGGTGCTAACACCTTTCCTTTTCATAATCTACCTCCCGAACTCAAGGAATAATCTTAAAGGTCTTTCCTATGCTTTTTCACCTTTCCTTTTGGATAAAAGAAAAGTCGGTGGCGACTCTTGCTAACCGCAACATTTGCAATCAAATGCAACACCATCAAGTCAGTTCTCCCACCGTATCACACACATGTTTGATTCCTTGAGAATGACGCATGAAGGCAACACGTAAGTCAAAGAAACCAAAGCCCTTGCGCCCATTCAGAAGTACAAAGCCTTCAAAATGGAAGAAGATGAAACCATTGAAACAATGTTCTCTAGATTTCAAATTCTAGTTGCTGGGCTAAAGGTTCTAGATAAAGGGTACTCAACTGCTGATCATGTAGAGAAGATCATCAGAAGTTTACCACGGAAATGGAGACCCATAGTCACTGCTCTCAAACTTGAAAAAGATCTTAACAAAATCTCTCTAGAAGAACTTGTGAGTTCTCTCATAAGTCATGAGATAAAGTTATAAGATGATGAGCCCCATAAGCAAGGTATGTCTCTCGCTCTGAAATCTAATAAGTATGAAACTAAATTTTTGCAGGAAAAAGCAGGAGTAGAAAACTATGGTGAATCCTCGTCAAAAGAAGATGAATTGTTCCTTCTATCTAGAAGAATCAATTAGTTATGGAAGCACAGGCAGAGAGAATTCAGAAACTCCAGAAGAACATGGAATGACTCTAAACAATCTTCTGGATACAAAAAATCTAGTAACAGAAACATTACCTACTATGAATGCAATAAACAAGGTCACTACAAAAGTGACTGTCCAAGGCTTCAGAAGGAGAAACCAAAAATGAAGTTCGTTAAGGAGAAGAAGAAAAGTCTTATGGCCACGTGGGATGACTCTGAATCTTCTGAAGACGGAACATAATCAGAAGATGAACGAGCCAATATAGCTCAAACAGATAACTTATCAGATGTCTCCGAATCCTCTGAATCAGAATCAGACTCAGAGTCAGAAGAGGTATTTTCTAACTTTTCTAGATCTCAATTAGAGGAGAGTCTGTCAGAGATTCTAGAAAGGTATCAGAAGCTTCAAGTCATAAACAAGAACCTGAAAAAGGATCTAATTTCTGACTCTGAAGAAACTAAGAATCTGATATTAGAAAACTCTGAGTTGAAAGAAAAAATTTTAAAACTTGAAAATGATTTACAAAATACTCAGAAGAAAACTGTCTCAGAAGTTCCTAGTGACCCTGATATAATCATAAAGGAATATGATCACAGGTTTAAGAAGTTCCTAGCTAAAAACATAGATAGAAGCAAGATGGCTTCAATGATCTATGGAGTTAGCAGAAATGACAGAAAAGGGTTATGATACAAAGGTAAAGTATCTCAACCTAAGAAAGTCAGGGATTTGGTTATTAAACGCACTCCTCTTTATTCTCACTTAACTACTGGACAAACACATGATATAAAATATACCAGTAAAGCGTTTTCTGCTAAACCAAAATTCAAACAGAATTTTGGAAACTCTAACAGTCATGGACCCAAAAAAATATGGGTACCAAAAGATAAAATCATCTATGTTGCAGATATTTTTAACAGCAAGGTTGAAACACCAGGACTCTGGATGCTCTCTACACATGGAGGGAAGAAAGCATATGTTACAAAGCCTGAAATTTAAAGGATTCGCAGGTTTCAGAGGCAATCAGAAACAAAAGGTTATTGGCTCTGAAACTATTGGGAACATGAATGAGAATTCTACATCATAAGCTCTCTAAAGAATCTCAGTTAAATCCAGAAGATGATCGTCACACCTTCTCAAGCAACTTCTTACTTTTTAATTATTGACAAAAAGGGGGAGAATCAGTGATACTTTGACTCCTATCAGAAGAAAATATGCGTTATCAGAAGATCTTCAGGGAAGTATTTCATTTGCTCGTTAACGGAGTATTCTACTCAGGGGGAGTTTTTTTATTCTTTGTTCTTTATGCTCTACCAAAATATATAAGTTTTTCTCATCATCAAAAAGGGGAAGATTGTTAGAACATAATTTGGTTCTACATCCCTGCAAGAGTTTTGATGATAACAAACACATGATATATATAAAGAACAAATATGCTCGCTAATAAAAGTATCTTTACATGCAGGAAGTTCTGATGTGAAAAAAATGTTCTAATGTAAGGAGCATAGACGATCTGCCAGAACATCACTAGAAGTTCCGATTATGCGAGCATAGAAGATGAGAGTACCATGATAGAATCAAACGCATCCTCTTAGAAGCAAATCTGTGTGACACGCTTATATGAAGAAGTTCTGTTACAACTTCTGAATGCACCAGCGCTGTGAAACAGGATCTCTGATACTCTGATCTGTATAGTTCTAATACAAGCTGTAAATGACTCTCAACGGTAACATTCATCCTCTGATGTGAGAAGTTCTAAAGCGTTACAATTTATTAATGCAATATCAAAAGTAACGGCTACAAACAGACAACGATCTCATGGTATGGAAAGTTCATTAATTCGTGTTATGAACATACCAAAAGTATATTCTTGTGTCACTGTTGCATGGCCTATATAAAAAGAAGACAAAAAGAAGATTTCAAGTGATGAACTAATGCGCACAAAAAGAAGAATTCACGTGAAAGTACAGTAACGCAACAATCATCTTTCATCCTCAAACGTTCATATTAAATTGTGTAAAACACCACTGTTAGTGATATTGTTTTATTAGAAACACTATTGTACACATTTATTCAATTACTGTTTAGGCATTTCCTTGAGAAAACCGGATTGTGGTTTTGGACTCAAGAAGACTTTGGCAGTTATCAAAATAGATTTGTAATCAAGATTGATTAGTGAATTAAGATCTCGTTGGAGAGAGGCGAAATCACCTAGTGGATGGACTGGAGTAGTTTGAATTCAAACGAACCAAATTAAAAATTAACGCGTGCTTTATCATTAAATATTGAGATCTCAATTCAACCACCTTCTTGTATTTTTCCCTTCTTCATATACTACATAATATATTTTATAAGAGGGAGTGTCTGAGTCCAAAAAGAAACCCCTTACATCAAAGGGAGTGTCTGAGTCCAAAAAGAAACCCCTTACATCAACGTTAAAAATCTTGCTAATTTGAGATGGACAATCCGAAAAATTAAGATTACAATTAACTATAGCGTCTGCACAAGAAATAATATTATGATTAATTTGCTTCTCTAAATTTAGTTGATCGAAATTTCAAACAATATATAAACTATTTTTGTGCTAAACATATTTATATCACAAATGTTAGTGCATAAGCATAAGCATGACTCATCTCTCACCAGTTATTCTCTCCTCTCCCAGTTCTACTCTACCACTCAAATATAGAATTAATTCCCAACCTTTACAACAAAACCTTCTTTTTACACCCCCACGACCACAATTCTACACCACCCTAATCAAACCACCACCATCCATAGCTAATTCTAAAAAATGGAGAAGCACGGTTTCATTCTTCCAAGGTTTTCTCACTGGAGGAGACAGAGAAAGGGATGTTCAGAGCCTCAAAGATGAACTCTATGAAACAATTGCACCACTTGACCGTGGCGCTGAGGCTACTTCTGAAGACCAACAACGTGTGGACAAGGTTAGTTTCAAAAGTACAAACACTAATAACATGCTACATGCATGATAATATTTAGGTTTATGTTTCTTTTGTTTCATTGTGTTTGTTGGTTTGTGATTTATTTTGTGTGCTTGTTATCTAGATTGCTAGTAAACTTGAAGCTATGAATTTTGGTAAGGAGCCTCTCAACTCTGATTTGCTCAATGGAAAATGGGAGCTTTTATATACTACATCTCAATCAATTTTGCAAACAAAGGTTTGTCTCTAGAGCTTTTATGTGTATTCGGGATTTTGATTGTATTGAATTTGTATTTGTGCTATTGAAGTTGTATTGGAGTCTCACATTGCTTAGATTCACGGATACTGTTAAATGTATAAATGTGTACATGCATAGTCCATGACTGTGAGTCGTATGAAGAGTGTCCATTATATCTGCCATGATATCCTTATATATAAAGTCCATTTAATAGTCTTAATAGTCATAAGCCGCTTTGAATGTATTGTCTAATTCCTATTTTGAATATTCTGTGTTCGCCCTGAAATTCAATTATTGGGCCTTTTAGCGTTTTTAGCTCGGTTTTATCCTTATGGATGATGGGTTGAGAGTTGGACGGGCTATATCAGCTCCAGATACAAATTAAGAATTCTGGACCAATGTACCGGAATGTACAAAATGTGTTTGGGCAACAAACCTCATTCTTCCTTTGAGTCATATGAGTCATCTGAACTCCCTTTTTATTGTTTTTTAATTATAACATGTTTGATTTTGCAGTATGATTTTTATATTTATATATTCATTTTCTTTGGTAAACTGATAATTGATTGATGTTAAACTATCCTAGAGACCGAAATTCCTGCGACCAAATGGAAAGATCTATCAGGCAATTAATGCAGATACATTAAGAGCTCAAAATATAGAAACTTGGCCGTTCTTCAACCAGGTAATACAATTCTGACCACCGGTTTGAATATCTGTTTAGATTGTATAAATCTATATAGTTGAAATGATAAGGAAAATCTGTCTTTGATATGAGTTGTTCAATAGGAGAATTCAAGAAACCTCGGCGTTGGCAGGGTTTAGTATTGCAACTTATGATAATATGATTCTTAGAGGAACATGAGCATGCTAAAGTAAGTTGCAATGTCTTATTGCAATATGATGTTTTGAACTATGTAGCACCGACGCCTCTGAACGAAGGTGTTTCCCGTGTGCGACACCGACTATCGACACATGTGATTGTGTTCAATTTTTTTCTTCAAGTTATTAAGTGTATGTGTTTGTGTATGTGCTTCATAGGTTTTGAAGACCATTTTCAAGCTTTTTGATGAACAAATCCTAGCTATGTACTAAGTGAATAAGTGAATGAATCTAAATAATTGGTTAGCTGTAGTTTTGTGGGTTTAACTTCATCAAATTCTTAATATTCTGCATCCCTAAACTCAAGTTTCCACTTTTGTTACAGGCCACTGCAAATTTAGTGCCACTTAACTCAAGAAAAGTGGCTGTCAAGTTTGACTACTTCAAGATTGCTAGTTTGGTATGTACTGCTCGAAATTACTTTTCAATTTTCATATTCTTAGCCTGTATTTGTTATAATTTAACAGAAGATCATGCATTTAAGTTGTGGCTAATTGCTTGCTACTTCATAAATTATGTTCTAAAAAAACAGATTTGAATTGTTCGCTATACAATCACAAATTCACACAGTTACTATCTTGTTATATCGAGATCTGATGGCATAGAAAACAAGTAGATTTTGTTTTTTCAAACTATAACATATTGAATTTAAAACCAAGACTGCCACCAATCTGGTGACTGCGTGAATGCATGGCAATCTAAAATCCGAAATTCTGAAGAATATGTTTTCCTTCAAATGAGTGTACAATGCTAATTACAGATACCAATAAAATCACCTGGGAGTGGTCATGGCGAATTGGAAATTACTTATTTGGATCAAGATTTAAGGTAAGTTGGCACTCATAGAATTAATGGTCCCTTCTCACATGTTCACATATTGTTTCTTTCTGGAATTCAACAATAGCTGCACTTCAAATGTTTACTAGTAGAATATGGATTTCTTTCAAGAATTCAACAATAGCTGCACTTTAAGTTATCACTAGTAGAATATGGTTGAATACTAGTTTTGTCAAGTGCAATATTCGCTCTGGTCATTGAATAATTAATGTATCTGATCTATGATCAGATATTCAATAAATTTGAAAAAAAATAAATTTTATTTATAATATTGATCATAGTTAGTATGCATATACCAGATCAAAGTCGTACATATTACCTGTTGATTAAGTATGGATTTATTTTTTCTGCTTGATCCTGACAGAATATCAAGAGGTAACAGAGGCAACCTGTTTATATTGAAAATGGTAGATCCATCTTATAGAGTCCCTATTTGAAGTGAGTTATGCAAGAATTCAACTTACACTTTACAAGATCAATCAATGCTACCAAAATTCAAGTCAAGAAATGGTTCAAAATTTATGTACAACGGTCATTATATTATGTTGGGAAAAATCATGTGAATGTTGTTTCAACTGTTTGGTCGTATGCACCCAATATTAAGATACTATTGTTTTCTTAATACGTCAATATGTATACTTTTGAAAGTCAAACAAGTCTGCATTAAGATATTCAAATTTAATTCTAGAGTCAAAGTTCATTTTAAGTTCCGAAAAATTTATGAGTTTCAATTTAAATTCTAAGAATAATATCAACAACTTTTATTTTATATAAAAAACAATTTACTTTAATTCTTTCTATATTTTATTTAGTTGGTAAAAGAAGTGAGAAAAAGATAAAAGGACTAAGATACGTAGACAAAATTGTGATAATCATTCCAACCGGGTCAAAAACAATTCAAATATCCCAAATTCAAACATGGTGTTGACATCAACTTATAATTGTGAGTTTAATTAATATTGTGAATCCGAATAATTGATTTGTGCATGATAAAGTTAAAAGTTCATTTGTCTCTTGCAGAAGAATTTTGTTTGATTATTTAAATCAAGGATATGAATTGGTATCTCTTTGTTGACTTCTAATGTTCAAAGATTTTTGATGTCCATAACTTCTTTGATTTAATTATTAGTGTTTTTTTTATAAGAAAGATGAACTAAAGGTTTTCCAACCTATTTATACCAGGAACGAACTAACCCAATAAAAAGATATTACAAACCAAATGAGATTTACGACAAAAATAATAAATAAGTTTCGTTAAACTCATAAAAACTACCATTAGGATGAGTAAAATCTCCTATAAACGATCATCTTCAAATCAAAATTTTGATATTTCAAACCGTATCATTTAAATTCCAATCTTCGTTACAAAAACAAATATCATTTTATAATGACCAAACAACCTAAGAAATAACTATCCACATAACTCTAAATTTACTCTCTTTAACTTTCTTATTTTTACAAAATAAGAATCATTTATGTCCATAAGTTCTCAAAACATCCTTCCTCTATCTCTACCGTCTCCATCCACATAACAAACTCTCTCTAAGTAGTCTTTACCATGTGACACTTAATAAAAGTGTGATCTCTATTTTCCACAAAACACATTTTAAATAATTAATAAAGCAGAGAAATGTCCGAACATTAATGTTTGTACTCTCTCTTTCTCATCTAATAAATAAAAAATTTATGATATAAAATTTTTTTTTTAAAAAAACTTATAATTAAACATTTTATTTTTTAATAATTGAAGCGTCACAGTAATTGAATTCACCGACTGAATTAACATATTTCATTGTAATCAGCGAAAAATTATAAGCATGAAACAAAATATATAAAATATCAAAGAAGATTTTTCGATTGAATAAAATAAAAAAATAATTTAATCAGAGTTCAAACTTTTACTATGTAGACTAATAACAAGGGGAAAAAATTTAAACAATTTTGTTTTACGTATAATATTATCATTATTATTTATTTAATTATTGTAATTGAATGATAAATCACAATTAACAACGTGTGTAGGTTAAAATAGTGACCTCCGTTCAAAAAGAGAGACCGTGATCGTGGAAATCGAAATAACTAAAAGTAATAAAAAAACAAACGACACTTTCGTTACCACAAATAAAAAAGAGGTTAGAGGAGTTCAGTTAGTTTCATCTCCGTCCTCACCTCTGTTACTCCGTTAACCCAATGGGATTGGGTTGCATGGCTCCTTCTCCTACCATCGCCTCCCAAGCTCACCGTTACAGTCACCGTTACGGTTACAGCTTCCGTTTCCCCACGCGCACACTATTCAATCACACACCACGCGTCCATCAAATCTCCACAACTCCTCCTCCTCCTCCGCCGGAAAAGAAATCCTTCTCCGTCGCCACCGGGGAGCTCTTCTTAGGCATTGCTTCGCGTCTCATTAAGAGCAGCGGCCCCGTTGCAATGTTTGAGAATTCCAATGAGAAAGAGAGAATTGGAGCTGTTATGGAAGATGAGATTCAACCTGATGTGATTTGGGAGCAGAGAGTGAAAGATGTTGAAGCGGAACGCAATAGGCGTGTTGTAACTACCCCTGGCTTTAGCTTCTCCGCCGCTGGTCTTCTCTTTCCTTATCATCTCGGTGTCGCTCATTTTCTTATTCAGAATGGTTACATTAAGGTTCCTTCATTTTTTATTCCTTCATTAATTCTACTCTTATCAAGCTCATGTTTGAATAAGTTTTTTATATACTTTATTCCTTAAGCTATTCTTGAGAGTTTCTGAAAATAACCTTAAAACCTTTTTAGAAGTGCTTTTGTTAGTAGATACTTATACTTGTAGCAGCGACACCTCAAACATCGACGCGCATACGAGTCGGTGTCATTTATATTCAATTATTTATTTATTCAAATTATTACTCGTGTCGATGCATGAGTGTATGTAGTGTATGCGTCTTGACACATGTCATTACATGCACTTTATTTATTTATTCAAATTATTACTAGTATCGTGTCATTGGCGTTGGTGCTTCACAGGATAAGTTCAAACAAATCTATAAAAAAAAACCTTAAGTTAGAGGGCTTTTGTTCCTTTCATGGGAATTAAAAATTTAAATAGAATTGGAATTATTTATAAGGTCTGTATGTTTATTTTTGGACTCCAATTGGATGATTGAGGAATTAGTTTTGACCTTGGTTTTCTAGAGTTTATTTACAGTATATCTTGTTCATTTTGAAGTGATACGCGTGTTTTACTTTTATATCTATGTCAAGTGTAAAATTGGTCTAATAACCAATATCATTTATATAATAAGACACTTTGAACTGTGTATTTTTTTGTTGGGGTACTATGCTTGCGCCGCAAGTTATTTTATCTGCTATTTTGTTAACAGTTTTATGTCTGAATTCTTGGTTTGAGTCTTGAGTTTATAACGATAGTTTTATGCAAATTTGTTCAATAGCGCAATTGCATAGTAGAATTTGGAATTTTGGATTCAACTACTTAGCGGTCTATGTCATAAAAAGTGTCATATTTTAGTCATGTGCGGTTCTGAAGCAAATGATTACTTAGATTGATTTTAATGATTATATGAATTCCATTTACCAAAGTATTTTTATTCATCATAGTTAGTGGAGTAGTTAGTGAGTTGAGATTCTATAAATCAGGATATATTGGTTGAAAAATGTAAATAATGTTTCATTCCTATTTTATATCAAGCGGATGTGGTGCAACTGGTAAACTCATTGGTCTCAGAGTTTCCCATGTCAAGGGTAAAATATTGCAAATGGGACATTTTTATGAGGGGGAGAGTATGAAATATTGTGAAATAGCAGAATTTACACAAACCACTATTTTTTGCAATCCACAATTAACTACATCTGTTCTATGACGCACGTCCAGGAAACCACACCGTTAGCTGGTTCTTCTGCTGGAGCTATAGTATGTGCTGTGATTGCTTCTGGAGCTAGTATGGAAGAAGCCTTGAGTGCTACTAAAGTATTGGCTGAAGATTGTCGAAGTCGGGGGACTGCATTTCGGCTGGGGGTATGCCTCTATTCTTGAACTGAAAGTACTTCACTTAGTTAGTTTTGCTCTTAATCTTAGTAGTGAATTCATGTTTTCCTTTGGCTCTTGCCCCATGGACAAGAATCCTTTGAGCTTGAAGTGCGGATAGTCTAAAGTCCAGTTTACCTTGTTTTGAAACATGAAATAAGGTCTGTGAAAAGTCGATAGAAAGGATTTGGTTATACGAGATCATGTGTTACCTCTCCACTGTTTTTTCCTGTAAAGCTATGTCACTTTGTTTGAGTCTAGTTGCTAATTCGGAATGCTAGAACCTATCTTGAAAGTTACTATTAAGTATCAATTATTAGTGAATGACTGGTTTAAGAAAAACCACTTTAGAACTTTTAGAAGATATAATTGTTTCTGGGATTAAACGTTGATTATATTTTTGTTAATCGATATAACTATTTTTGAAATCGAATGGAATTTTATATGATGGGCAGAGATCTTTGAAAATGTGACTAAGTTCTTATCCAGAAATCTGAGATTTTCTTCAATTGTGATATTATGCCATTTTTTTATACATAAAAGGAGTGTTCAAATCTCATAATGTGATGTTCTTTTACAAAATAAATATCTTTTCATTTGGTGGCATAATCTTTTTCTCTCCATAGGCTGTTCTGCGTGATATTCTTCAGGAGTTTTTGCCTGATGATATTCATACAAGGTCTAATGGGAGAATTCGAGGTAATATTTGATAGACTTCACTTCAGCTATTTATACATTTACGGTTTAGTAGTTTATTAGATTGAAACAAAAGTGAAAAAGGATTCTATTTCTGAACTTTGGGGGCAAAACTTGAATTTGGATGAGTTCCTTAGAGTTGTCTTTATTGGTAACTGAATAATTTTTTTCAAGTCCTGCCGTGTCTTAGTATGCACTTCTTTTGCAGTTGCTGTGACGCAGCTTCTTTGGAGACCAAGGGGTTTATTGGTGGATCAGTTTGATTCTAAGGAAGATCTCATCAATGCAGTTTTTACTTCTTCCTTTATTCCAGGGTGATTTGTCAGTATACTATATTATCATGGTTACATGTGATGATTTTACTCTTCATAGATGCTTAACAGAATTTCAAACTTATACTCCCTCCAGATATCTTGCACCAAAGCCAGCAACAATGTTTCGGAATCGATTATGCATAGATGGGGGTCTGACGTTGTTTATGCCACCAACATCTGCAGTACAAACGGTATTATATGTGATTGGCCTGCTTCAATTTTGATGTGATTAAAAAGATTTGTGATTAATTTAGTTTATCAAACATTTTAACCTTGAAAAACATTTACTGCTTTACAGGTTCGTGTTTGTGCTTTTCCAGCAGGTCTAATTGGATTGGAAGGGATAGGAATTAGTCCAGACTGTAATCCCGAGAACGCGTCTACCCCTCGTCAGGTAACTCTTAGTTTTAGGAATTAGCATAATAATCCTCTTAATGACAAGTAGATGAGTGATGAGTATTTTGGGTTAAATCGTTTCAGCTTTTCAATTGGGCACTTGAGCCAGCAGAAGACGTAATGCTTGACCGACTCTTTGAGCTCGGATATCTTGATGCTGCTGTCTGGGCAAAGGAAAACCCAGTCGAAGAAATTGTTCAAGATGATACTCCTGGTCCTGCATTTGGAAATAGCATTGCACAATAGCGCATTATGGATTAAAGATGCATGAGGAAACAACAAATTAAATTCAAGTATTCTATGCTTCAAATGGGCATAACTTGGCACTAAAAAAATCATGGTGGGGAGGTCTACAGTTCATAACTTCTAAGTGTATACATATCATTTCTTTCATATATTTATTGTAAATCGAGATAGAATTCTTGCTGTGGACAAGAGGGGATTGAAAAGAAAGAAAAAGAAATATAGATACTTTATTCTATTTAAATTTACAAAATAGGGTGGTAATGTAGATTGAAGTCTAAGATTTATTGTGGATTACAAATAAATAGAACTTATAGCCAGTTTCCCTATGAATAACAAAGTTAAGGCATGCGAGTTCTCTCTGAACTGATGTACTATGATACTCAGATACTAATTTAAGTTTTATTATTGTTGATTTTGTACTTGTAGACAATTGTAAAATAAGGGGACATTTGGAATAGTTTATTTTATGATGATATGAACACTTCTGGATTTATTTGTAAGAAATTTTAAAAGTAGCTTGTGATACGTCTAAATTGTTGATGTCTTTTTTATGCACGAGTTGTTGATGTTGATGGTAACGACAATAGTGGATATCACGTTATTTACCTATATTACTAATTGACAAAGGTGAGAAAAGTTGAATTTGTGTCTGTCATACACTAATTAGAGATTTAACTACCCTTAGGAGTGATTATGTGCAACTCTACGAGACTTTAGATTGACTGAAAGATATCATCAATAATTCGTACTCAAGACATATTGGATTCGCTGCACCAGCACTGCAGCCAAGTGGGTGAGTTTTTTCAAAAATAGGATATCTTATTGCAAGTTTCTATAATAAGGTTTTAACTGAGTTGATTAGGTATGAATTTTTGGAAACATTTTTTCTATTGTGAATTCAACCTACATATAATTCAGATTCACGAGTAATTTGTATTAATTGGATTTCCAAAAGAAAAAAATATTTTGTATCGATATACTTGAAAGTTAACATTTGTAAAATGGAGAACGAGCCATAAGTTAGAATCAAAATCACGTGAGCTTCTTTTTTAGATAAAAATGTTATTACTTACACATTTTCAGCGGTGTTTATCTAAAAGAACCCTTCCAAACTCTGGGTTGGGCTTTGCTGCCATTTTATGGTAAAGACACTAAAAATTAATATGTTATCCCCAAATTAAACATGACACTTCTTCAACTTCAATTATTTCAGAATTATTCTTGTTGAGTTATAAATAATTTTTAAAACGAATTTTTTGATAAAGAGTTTGAAATTTTCGATATTGACAAAATTTTTGTTATATCTTTACAAAATTTTCAGCTTATGTAAATTTCCATTAGTGTATTTGAAATTTTAGGTATTCCGGAAATCTCAAATTTACTAGGCAGTACCGGAAATTTGAGTTATACTGAAATTTTCGTCGTTCATTTATTCAATTTTTTTAAACGGTCGAGATTTTTCCGACATCTTTGGAGGATCCTGATTGCATCGACAAACTTGTGTGGTCTAAAATGCATCACTACTTGTATAAATAGGGGCATATACTACAAAAAAACATCTCAAACAGTGTTTATTCCTCAATTTCAGATTAAGGCAAAAGTATATTTCAACAGAAACAGTCATGCTTTTGAATTCAAGCATTCAGATGGCACCACATCATTCGACAACTTGAAAGACAAGTTGAATAAACTACTGCTTGATTCCGATAATAGAAGGGTGATAAAGATCGAGTTTCAGAAAGATTGGATTGATATAAATGGAAGGGTGAAATACAACCTAATTGAGTTGAAGACCGATGAAGATGTGAAAGTCATGTGAAAATCATTTCGCCGTAGGATAACTAAAGGTCAAATTGAGTTGGATGTGGAGATCCGAAGATTCTTCGATGACATAATCAAGATATTGAAACGTCTAAAATCATCGGATAATGCCTAGGTTTTCATGCTTAGTTGTTTTTGTTTTAGTTTGTTGTATTATTTTATGTTATGTTCATCATCAATTTGAAACATATAATCGTCAAAATATTATGCAATAAATAAGAAGTGTGTGTCACAAAATATACATATAATACAACCAAAATAAGACAGATTTACATAGGCCCTCCACAGGCTACATCGGCTAACCTAGCTAAACATGTAAATCTCAGTACCAGGGTTTACCAAACCAATGAGGTTATCTAAATGTGTAGTTGTTTAGGTATTGGCTTGCATTTTTGGTAAAACCCAAGTGTATGTGTGAATGTCATGACTGATGTCATAACATTCTAGTTTAGTTTGTACTGACTCATTAGGTACCTTTGCAGAAAAATATTGTAATTCAAGTACTGATGTTTATAAGTGTGTATCTGAGCATTTTGCAAAATGATCACATTTTGCTAAATCAGTAGACAGGTTTTCTCAGATGTCATAACAGATGTTATGACATCCTGTTCTGAACTAACAGGTTTGCAGGTTGGATAAGTCTGAGTTTTTTCAGGAAAATAACTCAGTCTTTCCTGAACAGAATCCTGCGTTTTCTGAGGGGTAACCTAGCTCAACCCTAACCTGGTTAATAAAGTCCCGTGACCTGGTCTTTAGGTCAAACGGAATTAACCCTAGGTTTTTGTGGAAACCCTAACTGAAGTTGCAGCTGCTATATATTCAACAGAGCTGCTGTTTTGCAAGGCATCCCTTTTATTGATCAGAAGATCATTTGTAATTTGTATAAGTTTGATTATTGTACTCCAAGCAATTATCATTGTGATAAGTGACTTGGAATAGGTTTCTAATTGTAAGGGCTGTGTAGCACTCAAAGCTTTGAAGCAAGAGTGTTTGAATGTTCCTTGACTAAAGCTGTGAAGCAGAGTCAAGTTAGGTGTGTGGATCACTCAAAGCTGTGAAGCAAGAGTGATTGTGTTGCTTGATTAAAAAGCTGTGAAGTTTAATCAAGTGTTTGTTTTTGAAGAGTGTCTTCATAAATTCTTAAGTCAAATTATGTTATGTATCACTGCTGTGATTGAGGGGGAGTGAGTAGGAACTCAGGTTTAAGTTGTACTTAGATTGGAATTGCATTGGGTAGGTCTTAAGTGAAGGAGATAAACTGGTTGGTTTATTCCTGAATTAACACCTCTTATAGTGGATTTCCTCCCTGGCTTGGTAGCCCCCAGAGTAGGTGTTGTTGCACACTGAACTGGGTAAACAATTGACTGTGTTCTTTATTGCTTTTGTATTTACTGTCATATAGTAAGTCAGATACGGTGTCATAACATTGAACGTGACATTGAGTATCTGCAGCCAGAATTTCAATTGGTATCAGAGCAGGCACCCTGCCTGTATTACTGGGTGAGATCTAGGGATATCACTTTCTGGCACTATGGACAAAGAAGGAGTTTTTGGAAATAGACCACCCATTCTGGATGGAACTAATTATGACTACTGGAAACCCCGTATGATTGCCTTCCTAAAATCTCTGGACAAAAAGGCTTGGAGAGCTGCTGACAAAGGATGGATCCATCCCACCATAACTGAGAAAGATGGGACAATCAGTCTGAAGCCTGAGGAAGATTGGAGTAAAGAAGAAGATGAGTTAGCCCTGGGAAATTCCAAAGCTTTAAATGCCTTGTTCAATGTAATTGATAGAAACATTTTCATATTAGTACATCAATATGAACTGGCCAAGGAAGTTTGGGACACTCTCAAAATTACTCATGAGGGCACTTCCAAAGTAAAAATGTCAAGGCTTCAGATGTTGACTACCAAATTTGAGAATCTAAAAATGATGGAAGATGAAACCATTCATGAGTTTCACATGAACATCTTGGAGATTGCCAACACCTCAGGAGCACTGGGAGAAAAGATGTCAGAAGAAAAACTGGTGAGGAAGATTCTCAGATCCTTGCCTAAAAGATTTGCAATGAAGGTAACTGCCATAGAGGAAGCCCAGGACATTAGCAAGTTGAAAGTGGATGAACTTATTGGGTCTCTTCAGACTTTTGAGATGGGAATCACTGATAATGGTGTCAAGAAGAACAAGAGCATAGCACTTATGTCCAACACTGATGTTGAAGAAAACATTTCAGAAGCTGTAGCCATGCTTGGAAGACAGTTCAACAAACTCATCAAAAGAATAGATCCAAAGTCAAGGTCTAATGTTCATAACATTCCCTCTGACATTGACAGTTCCAGCAGAAGACCAAGGTCAGAAGAGAAGGGAATTCAAGGCAGAGGAATTCAATGCCATGGTTGTGAAGGATATGGGCATATTCGAGCTGAATGTCCTACCTTTCTTAAGAAACAAAAAGGAATGACAGTTACTTGGTCTGACTGTGATTCTGAAGAAGAATCTGCCAAACGAGTTACTGCTTTAACTGGTGTTTGTACCTCTGAAAGTGACATCAGTAATGAAGAGGTGACTTTTAAAGAACTGGCTGATACTTACAAGAAATTGTGTATCAGAAGTACTGAAGTCTGTGTGCAGAATGAGAAACAATCAAAACTCATCATAAAGCTGGAGGCTGAAAAAAGGGCAAACCTTGAAACTATAAGTCATCTAGAAGGAGAAGTTCAATTGCTGAACTCACAACTGAATCAAATGACCAAATCTGTCAAGATGTTGACCAATGGAACAGACAAATTGGAAGAGATCCTTCAGGTTGGACAAAATGTGGGAAATAAATCTGGACTAGGATTTATGGAAGCAAAGAAATCTGGTACTGGTAAGCAAATGTCAAAACAGATGTCTCAACACTACTCTCAACATCAGGAACAGAGACATATGAAGAAAAGGTACCAAAGATGGAGATGTCATCATTGTGGGAGATATGGCCACATAAAGCCCTTCTGCTTCAGACTACATGGATATCCTAATCAGAACTCAGGTGTCAAACCTAAGTCTAAAAGGGTACCACATGCTCCTAAATGGAAGAAAAAGGCTACTGCACTGATAGCTCACACTTCCCTGAGGGTCTCTGCAAAGGAAGACTGGTACTTTGACAGTGGATGTTCCAGACACATGACTGGAA